ATCAGACTTGAACTAAGCCTAAATTGCAAAAAATTCAAAATTGGTGCCTAAATTTTTTTTTTAATTCGCTATTATTGTTCCACCATTCCGATTCAACTGAAAACCTTCAATATATAACAATAAAAAGATAAATCAAGAGATGAGCGAGAATTTTTTTCTTAAAATATATAAATGCCGCAAATATTTAATGTCTCAAACTAAAAAGCTAAATTAAAAAAAATTCTTAAAATGTTTTTTTCGATGATTTAATTTTTTTCAAAGATCTGAGAAGATTTAAAAGAAAGAAGCTTAGCCGTGGAAAAAGCGTTGAATTTTCAAAATTTTGGCAGAAATTTTTATTTAAATAACCAAAAGTGGTTAGCTCCTTATAATTTTTAATTGAACTAGGCCTATTGGCTATCACTCTACAAATTTTTGACTTGGGAATCACTTGGCGATAGATGTATAGATTTTTAAATAGGTAGGTCGAAGGGAGAAAATTGAACTTCTTAACATCGCAGTTTTAACAAACATGACACTCATTAACCACTCGGTTATCCTATCTCTAAGCACTTAAGTATTGAAAAATATTGTTAATAAATATTTTTAATAAAAATTATTACTTTTCTCAGCAATTTTCTCCAATTAACAATAGTTATATGGATAGAAGTAGTTATATAATAGAAAAAAACGGAGGAATTCAAACTAATCATAAATGATAAATATATATCAACTGGTCAATCAAATTGGTATTTATGACTGGTGTAACGCTACCAGTGATCGATGTTAATTGATCTAGCTGAATAGTAGTCATCTAATTATCAATAATTTATAATCCTTGATTTAAACTATTCAAAATAACTAAATGCTTTGATGGAAACGCTTGAATAAAAAGCCATTGACTTATTAACTTGTCTTCATTTCATAAAGCTTTATGGTCCCTATATAATGGAGAAATAAAATTGAGAATTCACCTCAGTTACTAATTTATTAATTTTCTCGATCTTAGATCTTTATTCATATTCTAATTTTTAATGCTGGTTTCAAAAATTTTTAAGTTTCTTAAAATTTTTATCATCTCCATTTTGATCATTTTACCTCTTAGCAAAATCTGTTATTTGAAGTGAATTGTAGACAGTGATAGGAGTCCAATTATAATGACTTCAAGTGACGTCCTGGGAATTTTCTACTAGCCAAGATAGACCAGAAATGATGATGGCTGCTTATAGAAGAAAGAAAACTGGAGACCTAGAAAAATTATTGTAAAAAAAATATTATACTGCGTTCATTCCGTAATGGTGAATTTAATAAGTAAATCTCTAATTTGCCCGATGAGTCTGATTTTTCATTAACATGATAAATAGTTCATTATTACACTAGAAAGGTAAACTTTGTTGCACAAAACGGGGTTTAACATTTCAATTTGTGAAAAAATTCAAATCATCAATCATGTAATGAATGCATGATTCGTTGCCAGCGCAAAAATTACATAATACCGCCAGCTATATAGTTGCATTCTTTCTTCACCTTTTATAGGCTTTATAGGCTATAATATCAAGGCTAAGTTTACTGATACAAAAGTCGTTTGAGACTCAAAGGCGAAAGAATATTATCTTTATAGCAAGTAGAGTAAGCCAATTTAGAAATAGTGAGAGTTAGAAGATAAAGATGTGTATCCAATATATATTCAATATAAAGGGATAGGATAGCTTAGTGGACTGTTGTTGTTACTCAGTTGGGAGCGCTGATGTTGAGGTTCGATTCTCTGCAGGAATGAACTTGTCCAAAAATCCGGGTGATGTTGGCGATTCACCTGTATTTTTATCGTCAAGAGACTCTCTGGCACATTTGTCCAATGCGACAAGCCAGCGGAGCGAGTTTAACCGGTAATGGTAAAAAGTGTTAAAAAAAAAGATGATCCAGAAAATGAGTGGGATTTGTTAAGTTAATGAGAAGAAAATTTGGCCAATGGAGCCAGGCGAATCCTAAGCATCTATGGAATTTTGTCATGTTAATAACTATTTTCTGTCTCTGTTTCTACTGTTTTTTATCTGACTTATACCTTTATCTAAACAAAAAATACATATACAGTTTATATTATATCATCCTTAATTCTTCATCTTCTTTTAATCATTTTAAATTTAGCTGGATTCATAGATAATTAAGATTATATACTTTCGCCATAAAGTCATATGGAGATGGCAGTATGAGTTCTCGAAATGATTAGCTAGAATAAACAATGATTTGTGGTGAATAAAAATTGCAGTTGACTTCATAAATTCACATTCGTTTAATGGATAAGCCTATGGGAAATTTGAAAAGAAGTCTTAACTGCAATCCTATTTATAAACTTAATAGAAGAAGAAGGTGAACATAAAGAGACGAGAGAAAAATCGAGTAACCTTTTGAATTGACCCTTTTGATTTGTGTCAAATCCAGCAATTTATTCGCAAATACAAAAGTGTGATTAACGTACTAATTAAGATCGAAAACGATGGCGTATAATTTTAACCATTATTAAGAGGTTATGTATCAATAATTTTCTTTTTCTTCAATAAATCTGAGCTTATTTACGATTATCTGATGACAATATAAATAATAATAAGTATATTATGAAAATGACTAATAATATTATGCTATTAGGCAAATAATATCAATAATAATAATGATAAAAATAATATCAATAATAAGATTAATAGTGAAAAATAGTAACAGCAATAATTTTAATAGAAACAATAATGGCGATAGTAGTAATAATAATAATAAGAGTAAAAATTATAATAATGACTAATAATAGTGATAATAATTTTCAATTATTTTGATAATAATAGTACAATAATAGTAAAAATAACAATAATAATAAATAGTAAATAATGGTAATAATAATAATAATAAATAATAATAATAGTAATAATAATAATAATATGCGCAATAACCAAAATATGGAAAATATACAAAAAAAATATAATTTTTAGCGAGTTTATATTGTTTAAAAATTAAATTAATTAATAATTTTAATCACTTTTCAATGAATTAATGGCTCAAATTTTTTAAGGAGGCAATTAAATCCATTTTAAAAAATAATCAGCCAGAAAAAATTAATGCTGATAACAAAATTAATAAACTGAGTACTCGAAACACCATGATGTTTTCAAAATTGACGATCGTATTCGTTTTTTCTTTGTGGTTGACGATATTTTTTAAAGTCAATCACTAAGTTTTAAGTTTTTGTTTAATCTATTTAAATTCATCCCCTTAGTTTTGAACGATTCAAATAATAGGACAATAGGCTGCTATGGTGTATCGACTAAGGTCCAGTTTTGATTTCTTTTTCTTGAAAGGAAATAAACTTATCATTAAAAGTAAAGGCATTCAAGCGCTATTCCTCTGCAAGTTTCCGACGAAGAAAGCTTCGTTCTAAAAAAAGATGGAACCAGCCAAATATGACGATACATTTTGTTTGTAAGTTGTGCGACAATTAGATAAATTACTAAGAGGCCAAAAAATGTTTTTGAAAAATTTACTAATGGCTTAATTTGAATATGAAAATTTGAATATGAACTGGTGCAATATAAATGGTAGATCTTAGAAAATAATAGATCTTCACAGATTTATAATAGATCTTAGAGATATATTTAGCTTCAAAAATGGAAGATTTTCTGAAATTTATCAAAAATTTATCAAAAAAGTTTGTTGAAATTTTGATATTTTCTCTCATTTCGTTTGGATTTTAATTATTTGCTCAGTTGCAAGATTTGTAAAATTGTCGAAGATAACATTCGCAAAAATTTTGTCGATTATAAAAGTGCTTGAAATTTGGCATCAATTAGTCGTATTCATCTTCTAAATTTCATTTTTCAGCTATTTTGCAAAATATTCAATTCGCAATAAATTCGCGAATCTATTTTTCTCTCATAAAAAAATTCTTGACTAGACATTCATGGAATTTATAGATTCATAATAGAAACATAGAAACATAACAGAAACATTTCTGTCCCAGCTTTTCCTCTTTTTCCTGGCCATAATATATAAGAGTAGAGTAAATGTATATGAAAACTGGCAAAATATCAGATATATCGAATGTAACCGCTAAAAAATTAAAAATTAATTTGCTGCATTAATATTTCAAAAAATGGCGAGTATAAGTAAAAGTACTAAATATTTAATCAATTCATTTATATGCAAATGATTTCGAATGTTAAATAATAAAGCTATAAACAAAAATCAAGAATAAAACAATATTAAAAATTCCATTTTGCGTCAGAGAAATGATAAAACGAGGCATTTTACGAAGATTAATCTCTCAATCCACTTTCTTGATTTATTGGAAATTGCAGAGAAATACATATCCATTTCAAATTCGCCCAAAAGAAAGAAGGGACGAAAGCTGGTTTCAGTTATTTTATTTTTAATAATTTAATTATATGCTACTATTAATTAATAGTTGATAATCAGTCGACCTTTCAAATCCTAATTTATTTTGCGAAATGGTGAGAGCGACTTAATTTATATCATAACCCAGATATTATGTACGTATGGAAGGATGATGAATATTCTGCATCGACGGAGATTGTTATGAAGCAATTCTCTTGTGTATTCTTTATCCTTAGGTGATTCAGTTTTTCAAAAGACTTGGTTGAACCAAAAAGAACAACAATTTGATTTGAAGAGAAATTGACGATGAAAATTTTCTATTGTGCAAGCTATTTTCAAAAAAAAAATGCTTTAAAAATTTGAAAACGATTTTTTAGAGTTTTATCAAAGAAATTTATCAAATAATCTGGAGCAAATGGTTCGGAATAAAGAAAAGTGGAAGAAAGTCAATAGTTAACGATTATTGGATTTTTAAGGGATTAGCAAATAATCTCTGATGAAGAAGAATTAAACGAAATTTATTTCTCGATGCTCAAGTAAGAAGCGATGTAATGGATGGGAAGAAAAAACGAAAAGGAAATATATATATATATGAACCTTACATGCAATAGAAGCAGTAGCAATAGAAACCATGCAAATCCTAGGAATTAAGATTTACCGAGATACTGAGCCAACAATCGAGGAACGGCATTTTTTTCAATTGCACAACTTCCTGAGAACACATTTATGTCATCAAGAGCAACTGAGAAATCTTTGTCCTCCTTTTTTCGTACTTCTATGATCAACTTAAAAAAAAAAAAACAAATTAATATTATAGTAAATTATCTGATGAAATTAATTTGCTTAAAATTTCTCAAAACCCTCCATAGGTTAGCCATATTGACGAATAGAATTATGTGTGGGTAATGGTAATGGAATACCTACATTTCCATGACAAGAATCCATCTAGATTTTATGAATTCATTATACCAGACAATGCACTTAAAGAAATCCTGGATTTTACTTCACGATCCATTCAAGAAAATGCCGACATCACCTGGAATTTGAAAGGAAACACCTTCTAACAGCTCTGACCATTACTAGTTAAATTGGTTTTGATGGCTATAGGAGTAAGACGACTAAGCTGCGCGATCTGATATTCGTCGACAGAAGCCATTCTTTTTTCCATTGCCTAAGTCCATATACTGTTAGTCCACCTAAGTTCAAAATCTTTTCCGACTCTATCATTCCAGATTCTGATTGATCCACCTCGCTTTTTGACGCCTATCACACGGTTTAGTAAGTAGCGAAATATATGTCAACTCCTGTGGTGGACGACGAAGAAAACATGCCTAAGCAGCGGAGGTGATGCTGTCTGGTATTACTATTGATGAAGGTGGTATCTGAGCGAAGGCATGCAAGATTTTATCCGCTTGGCTGACCTCGATTGATAAAATGGATCTTACACTTGAATGGTCAATCAAAGGGAGATAACTTCTTAATATCCACTACTCTTATCGGCTTTTGTGAGTGATTTCTGAAACATCGTCGCATTCCATCATTATCCAAGGTTCCGTTCTATCAATTGGACTGAATGCAGTTACAAAGCCAATGAAACATGTGACGGTGGGTTGCTGGTATTTGAAGCTATGTTCTAATATCCTTAACGTTAATATCTGGTCAGTACAACTCCATCCCAGTCAAAATCCAGCTTGGTTAAGACACATCCTGCTGTCTCGTCCATAAGTCTTTCGATGAAAGCAAAAATTTTCCCGAAGATATCTAATAGGGCTGATTACTCGATGTTTATCATAGTATGTCATGTAACCTTTCTTGGGAATTGGGAGCAGAATCACTTTGCTCCAGTCGTCTGGTATATTTCTTTTTTCCATACCAGAGAGTACGTTTGTTGAAGGTAGTATGTTGGACATATGTTGGACAACATCTGAAGAATTCAGCCCCGAAGGCCATCTTTTCTTGGACTTTTATTAGCCTTAAGCTTATGGATAACGGTGAATATTTTTTCCTCTATTGGAGATTCGCAATTGCAGTCATTTGGTTCGATGAACTTTTCAGCTATGTCCAGGTCAACAGATAAAGCATCTTGGTTAAGTTTGGCCTCAAAGAATTCCTTCCCTTCCATCTTATAAGGCGATCCTTAGTACTCATAACAGGCACACCATTGCTACCCTTTACCATTTCCCGAGTTCACTGATCAGTTGCATTATGAAGAAGGCGGAATAGTTTTGCCTAATCGAGCCGGCATCTCCATTCCCAAGGCCATATCACTCCAATAGTGATTTATTTCTGTTTCGCTGTGCTGCAATCCTTCGAAGCATCCGGTAGTCAGGATCTCCTGATATTCATGCTTTGTCAAGCATTTCACATAGTTGGACGATTGCTTCTGTTGCCAACTAATGCACTTCCTACTAGTATGTCCTACCGTGGAAGCAACTGAGTTTCGGAGACATTCCTTTAGTTTAGATCAGTATTCGTTTGTCGTTCCCGTTTCATTGAAATTTGTTCCATTGCTTCAATAATTCGGTCGAAATGCGCTCACTGTCCCCGACTTTTTTAATTTGATATAGCAGAAAGATCTTGGGATATGTTGTTTCTTGCAAATTGTCGGTTTTATGTAAATCTTAGCTCGATACATAACATGGTCTAATCGATGATGCTAACCAGTTTCAGTGGTCCGATATAAAAAACTACCTATTACAGAAATCTTCTAACAGCGACTGACTAAGATATAATCGGACTGGTTGGAGTGTTGGTTGTCTGAGTTCCAAATGACTAGATTTTTTACGATGCCAAAATTAGATATTAGCAGGTAACAAAAAGTTCATGTTCTTTGCCAATGGGAAGAAGGCGTTCCTCATTGGTGCACCAGATTCTAATGCCATATTTGCCAATTGTCGAGACAAATTTATCTCAACAGCATCATGACTCATCATGACTCTTCTCTTATGACCACATCATTCGATAGAGGCTTTGTTAACAAATGAAGTTGAAGTTTCCTTTGCAAAAATTTCCCAATATTCTAATGGTCAAACGAGTATTCAAGAAATGGTGAGAAGTTATTTTTTTTTACTTATTTGGTTTACTTTTAATAAATTGAAACCATCTGAATTGAAAGTAGAATGCGAAAATTGTTTCTCTTTTCTTTTTTTATAAAATTTTATGGAAAATAACTTTAAATTTTCCTGGAGATTTCACATCAAGAGAAATCGTTTGCCAGTGTTCCTTCTGGATTTTTTCGAGATATGCAATAAATAATATTTGATTATGTGCAAACATATCGCCATTTTCAGCAAAAATGCTTACTGTGAATACGCCTATAAGACATAAGTTCTTCAGTATTTCATAACGATTTATGAATAAAATTAAATTTTTAGTGAATTTATAAAAATTTGTCTCTATGATTTAAAGCCATTTTCATACTTACCATAACTATTTTGCGGAACAAATATTTTCATATTAATACAAATTGATGATCCATTTTTATAATAATAAAATTTTGAGAGTAAACGACCATATCTGTCATCATTCGATGGTGAACTTTGAAGTACCATATAGTAATCGCCACCTATAATTCATAATGTGCTTGCTATTGTAATTTGAATGAAAATCAAAATCATCGTATGTTTCTGTTTTCCCTTTCTTAAGTTACAGTAAAATGGTAATAAATACTGAAAAAAATTAAATATACCGTCCATATGCCTGGAAAGCCTCTGTTCATTTGCAGCTGGATGAATTCGGATCCATTTTAATGGTGCATCTAATGCGCTCTCAAAACCACACATGCTGAACTCGAAGTTACAAGTAGTGTTAAGCTGAAATGATCGCAGAGCAGAATCTGAAATATTCGCTGATATTTCTTTAGATTTTTCACGAAATTAGTCCATACTGTTAAAAAATGGATACCTTCTGTTGGAGTGTTAATTAATTCTCGGATACTCCACGCAGATTCAAGTCCGTCCGACATCACCACTTTCACGGCAATTTCATATTCTGCACCAGGTTGCAAACCACTAATTGCAATTTGCTGTGAGCGTGATGATATTTTTTCGAAGATTGTCGACTTGTGAATGCCATATCTTAAATAAATACATGAATGATGTTTTGCTTTACGACGGAGAAGTCTCTTTAAAGCGGTCGAATTTTCCCGAAAAAAATAAATTTTTTTCACAATTTTATGTATGACTCATATAATGAAATTTCGTAAGGGGCAAGACGATCAAGCTGACACCTAGGAGTTTGGATCTTACCTCTGATGTGAGGAAACTTGCCCAGGCAGTGCTGGCTGCCTACTTATCTTTTTCGCCAAGTGGTCCTCTTGTAAAAATTTCGAAAATTACCCTAAGCAGAAACAATGGGCTTTTTTTTTTCATTTATTATCTTTTATGTTTTTCGCAAGATTCTGATCCTTACTGTACTATATAAATTCTTTTTCGGAATCGTGGTTCGACCATATTTTCGTAATTTAGATTTGGATCCGTCCAACGGATTTCAATTTCTGATGGTGATAAAGCCTTGCCGCGGATATTTGTCGGTGGATGAAGTTTGAAAATTCGATTACCTTAAAATTTGAACTTTCCAAAATGATCTACAAACTCAGTGCATATTTAAGATCTTTTTCAGATTCATACAAAAGTATTCGGATAAGGAAGGAAAATAAATTAGGTAACTCTATAGTGGTGCTCAACAAAAACGATACTTGATTTCTTAGCTTCGGTGGTTGCTGTAAGGAGAACTTTCTCCGAATCCTCACCCACTGCCTCATTGTACGCTGTTAACACAAAGACGTAAGTTGTATTGGGTTCTTAAAATAATTAATTAAGGATTAATTAATTATGTCCTGCGTCACCTATACGCCGAAGAAGTCGCTTTAAAGAACGCTTACAGTCGAATTTTTTCGAAAAAAAATAAGTCTTATTCACAAGTTTTATTCCTCATTTTGTCATTTTGGCTGGTTCAAGAATTCATTATAATTTGAAATAAACACAACTTTTCGAAAAATTCAAACAAAGTTCGGTTCATAAGAAAAAATAACGAACTTAAGCCATTTATTGTGAACGCATTCGTATTTGCGCCTTCAATTATAACTTTTTGACTTGGGGTGCCGATTCCATAAGAAACTGTATAGCCTCGTACAAGAATTTCATTAACGCTTGCTGGTGGATCCCACCACAGTGTAGCGCTGTCACCATTCGTCTTGCACCTCACATTTTCTGGTGGGTCTGGTACTCTCCATTCTTGAATTGAAGTTAGAGTAAAATACGAGTAATTTTAGGAAGAATTACGGATTGATTTATTTCAAATGATACTGCATTTTTAATATAAGCGTTTGGGGGTAAGGATTAAAATTTCCTTATTAACGTATTAGTAAAATGACGCCTATTCATCTTTATCTATGCCAAAAAATATTTTAACCTCTAAATATAATCGCTTATTCTGGAATGGGGAAAGAAATTAAGAAAAGCTCAAAGGTTGAAATAAACAAAATTAATTTGGAAAATGAGCGGATACAAAATAATGTCGATAATTTTGAAGCATAATTTGGCTTTAGCGCGATTTTTATTAAATAGTTACTTTTTGAATACCTTTTGAAATAGTTAAACGAGATCTTTTTGAGTTATTTCACCTAGCCCATCGCATTAAGTCTATCCATCCACTGTGTTAAGCAGATTTTATTAAAGAAGATATTATGGACCTATTTGTGCCTTAACTTTCTGGAAGGCAATTAAATGAATTTGAAGCCAGCCAAACCAGATTTGGTGTATGAAGTGAAGGATAATGGCACCAAATATTTTATAAAAATAGCTTACCTTCTTGAGCTAATATGACTATTGCGAAAACAAATGCAATAATTAGGCATATTATCGATGAATTCATCATGTTGTACCATAAAGATTAAAAAGTTGATATTTCACCACCAGCAAAAACTTATGGAAACATCTGCAAAATTTAGAATTTCCCAGAAATTTAACTACACAATTCCACATCTTATTCATAGATGCTTTGATATTTAGCATTTACTGGTATTGAAATATGAAGAAAATGCGATAAGAAAAAAATTTATAGAGATGGACTGAAATGGAATTTTCGAGCTTAATACTCGACTAAGCATTAAAAAAGAAATAATAGGAAAATTCAAATTATAGGGAAATTTCCACTATGAATTTAAAGAAATTATCCTAAGAGGCAAGAGTTCGACTTCCAATGGGAGTAAATCTGCCATTAAAAAGTATTGCTAATGATATTCTTATTACCTTAAGTTTCACCAAGTGAATATGGCCTATCAGCTATTGTAATGGGTTTTTGAAATTTTGCTGTCAAATTTGTTAGGAGGAATCCAGAAATATTTGGACGAAACACCTACAAGTAAAAAAATCTTTTTGGGATGAAATCTGCTGGGATGAAATACAAAGCTTATTAATATAAATGATAAATCTTCCAAAATTTAGGTAGAATTTGTAATATAGGTGATTTTCCAAAGTTTCATAAATTTCAACGCTTAAGAAATAAAAATAAGGTAGAATTCTAGAATTAAGGTAGAATAGTAGCTGAAAACTGACATATGTATTGGCTTAACATCAAACATTTATATTTCTAAGTTTTTTAGGATTAAAGAAAAGGGATGATTTTTATTAAATTTATTTATGCTTATTTATGCTAGGCTTCGACTTGTTCCGAGAAAATATCTCTTTTCATTCCATATTCTTGATTTGCATTGATTTTAAGCAATTGAATTTGAAGATTGATCTCTTTAGTTTCCTATTTCCTTTTAAACCAAAACCAAACCAAAAAAATAGGACAAACTAAGAAAATTTTTCTTGAAAATTTTTCTAATCAGATTTTTGCGAAATCCGTAATTCTATTCTTTTAATTTAATTTTTTCCTTGGTATCTACTGTGATATCCATTTTTCTTCAGAGAAAATTAGAGAATATGTGCTAAATAATAAAGCAAAAACATTTGCCAAAAGTGAAAGCATCATATACTAAAAAAAAATAAATATTTTCGATTTCATATCGATAGGAAAAGAAATTAAAATTATGATACATAAATATAATTCCATAATCTGAAGATTTTAAAAGACATATCAAAAATATAAGTAAGCTCACTACAAGCAGCCATAAAATTACCCAGGGAGAGAGAATACATTCTTCTTATAATAGAGAAGATACTATGGCCAAAATTAGAAACATGATAAAGCACAAAAGCAAATTAGAAACTGAATTCAGAACGACAATCGTCATTCTCCTGTAGTGCCATTCTCTAAGAAATAGCCGAATCATAAATGGGGTGTGTTATTAGAAGAATGAAAGAAAATATCCAATAATAAATTGTCCCTTCAACCTATTTAAGGGTTACTCCGTTCGCATGCATATTACGGTTTCCTGCACTGACGAACAAATGAGCCACAAATATATGATGATTAGCTTGATGAAAAATCATAAAATTAAGGGCATTTCAATGTACTTAATTATATGTCAATATAAGAAAATAATTCAAAATCTATATTCATAAAAATTATACTGATACGTTATATGCATAAGAGCAGCTGGCTTCATCTACAGGAATATCTGCTCAGTATATGGCTTAGACCTTCTCAAGACTAGGTGGGAGATTCCTCAGAAAATCATGGAGAATGATAAGATTCTGTGAGACTTCTCCATCCAGGTAGAAAATCAAATACTGCCCAATCAACCAGATATCGCGCTTAGAGAAGAATCAGAAATCACTGGTGATAGAAATAGTAATAATAGAAAGGTTAAAATGAAGAATATAAGAAGTTAGAGAAAAACCAAGGGCTAAAAGACGAACTAGGGAAGATGTGGAAAGTGGAAACCAAAGTGATAAATGGAGCATTGGAACTATGGCCCTTAAATCAGAAAAGTGGTTTCAGTAGATTCCAAGAATAATGTCAGAGATCTTCATCCAGAAGAGCGCTAGGAACAACTACCAATCTCCCAGGCCTTCGGCAAAGGAGCCGAGGTCGAGGATGATTCTTACACCACTAAGGGAGTGAGAAAATGATGATTTATATATATATTTCGTAAAAATTTATATATATATATATATATATATATATATAAATTTTTTATACTTTTATCATATTTAACAGCCAATTGGCCTATTCTTTCTGATTAGACTCATTTCACTAGTTGTTATAATAAGAAATTTTTCCTAATAAGTCAACTGGCTATGAAAGGACAGGTGGCCCAGCAGTATTATTCGGTTTTTTAATGACATTTATTTCTGGTGAGATAGAAGATCGAAGCTGTGGTGTTTTTGATGCGACCAAATCGAAACAATCACTAATACGTATATAATTTATAATACTGGTAGACTGCAGGGCCAAATGGTTGTGGGTTATCGTCGTCCTGAAAATCAATGGTTCAAACAGGAGAAAACCTATCATTGAAAAATCTGAACAGTGCGACGAATAAATTTCTCATCGTATTAACAACCAATGGAGTCATCCCAATCAAAAAAGGCGAGCATTTAATTTTAAATTAAATTGCAGGCAAATTAATAAGATAATATGCTTTTATTGATAAAATAATAGGTTAAAACGGTTTAATTAAAATTATCGATAAGTAGAAAACTACGGATCGCTGAAGAAAAATGATGACCCATACAAAAAAGTCTAATGAACGATTCTTTTTTATAGAATTATAGAATTATGAAAAGTAGAAGTGGTCAATTTGGTCAAATATTTGACTATAGGAATGGGAGAAAATTTGCCTAAATTAACTAAATATTTCCATAAATATATTTTATGGTAATTATGTAAATTAGTTATGAGGCGGAGCTGATTTATTAGCAGTTATAGTACTACCGTATTCTCCTAGTTTATCAACGGCAATATTTATAATATTTATGGCTCATCAACGAATAATTAGTGAATTCATTACTGAATTTAATTTGAGGCAGAATCTACCTTTTTAATGTTTCCGAGATGAATTTTTATTTCTCAGTGTTGTCAAAAACTTGGTCTCTTGGTCTCTTTTTTGTGCGTACGGTTCGATTGCTCGTGCTGTTGGAAATTTTCTTTAGGGAGAAAGGTAAAAATATATGTTAACAGAATCTTTTTTATTTTAATTTTTATTTCAATTTTGCTCTTATCGGAGGTAGAAACAAGCCGAACCACTGATTCAAAACGATACTCTGTTATGATGCTGGAATAACTATTAGTAAATTTTGCTGGGAACCAAAAGCAATTTCTTGCGTGTTTTGGAAAAAGTTATACTGTGGAATTTATATTTAGAAGAATATTCTGGAAGATCAAATTAGCACAACAGATTTGAAGTTTTGAAATATTTTATTTTATTATTCATAAGCGAGCAGAATATATTCCATAATTAAATTTGCCCAGAAATTATTTTGCGCCAGCCAAAAATTCATTTGCATTCGAAAAATCATTGTGGAAAATTTGCATCCAGCAAATCGGTGTAAATTATGCCTTTGTGAATTAAATTTTTATATTACTTAAATTTTTTTTTTGAAAAAATGTGAATTCTAAAGAAATCAAGAAATCGGTGATAAATTCTTATGAATGTCGATATTTACCAATTTAAATAAAAATAAGTTAGCAGTAGCTAAGCAAGTAATGGCTAGCTAATCTTCGTTCAGTTAGCTATTAATATAGCTATTAATATTAATATTAATAGAAATTTTCATCACCAGGAAATTACTATTCGGATCTTTCAATGACAGGTTTATTTCTGTTGAGTGAACAGCAGCCCCCTCTCAACACAATCATTTAAACTACTACATGATATGCTATTCTGCCAACCAAACTTCCCGACATTTATACAAGATGTCTTAAACTTGAAACTTGAAACAAGTAAGATAATTATCTTCCGAAACAAATAACCATAAATTTTTGGATCGCTAAGGACAAATCAATGAACAAAGTCAACCAATAAATATTAGGTAATTAGATAATAGCACACATCTTCAAGCTCGCTTAACAGAACCAAACTAATCAACGAACCATTCAACGTTAATGATATTCAGCAAAGTTTAAGAAAAGAAAAGAAAAAAAAAATTTTTTGTATCTAAGAAAATCTTCAATACTTTCCAGATTGATCATTTTCCATGAAGTGTGACAAAATATTATTTAGACTTTATTAGAAATTATAGAAATTATAGAAAAATGAAATTATCGTAAAATTGTAAAATTGAATAGAAAATAAAGAGGAATTATTTGAACGCTTCATCATTTTCAAAATATTTTAATGGCTTTCGAATTGATATTTAAAAAAAACTTGACAACCAAAATGAATATTATTTTTAAAAGGTTGTTGTTTTCATTTAATGATTATAATCGGAAATGAAAGCTATTAAATATAATTGGCTTTTACAAAAACCATTAAAAAATTGCATAATTTATTAACGATTTATTACGAAAATTTTCACCTCGACGACTAATCAAACCACTGAAAATTTCAGTCTAATCTAGTCTTTTTTTCCAAATTGGTGCTTCGATTGAGATTCACCATATGGGTTCGATCCTTGCCACTCAGCAAAAGTGAATATCAATGTCAAATTAGTGAAATTGAAAATGGAATTTGAGTGATACTGCGAACGACTATCTCCAAACGACTTTCTGGTAAAGAAATATATATAATTAATATAACTGTATATAATTTCCTTAGAAAAGCCGTTTTAGCATGGAATGAAAAATATTAAAATACTGAAGTTTAGCTGGAAAGAAAATTTCGGGATTTGCTTAACGGAAATAGTCACCATTACACCATTACAAATAAAACGTGAATGTTTAGCTAAATTTTTACCAAAAATGAAGGCAAATATCTGGTTATTGATGTTAATGTCACTGAAATATTCTTGTTATAATAATGTTCTAGCAATGCTCAATATTTC